ACCTCCTGGTTCCTAGGTTGATGCTCAACCACTGAGCCGTGCCTGCCAGGCTAAACCCAACTTCTTACAGCGAGGTCATTGAGTGTGAGACCACAGTCTGCCCCAGCAGCACACGATGACCCTGTGACTCACTGTATCTCCTTTCTTCCCTTTCAGACTCCACTGCTCTGGTGATAAGGTTCTACTGCGAGGTGTCTACACCAGACAGCAGCTCACTCTCTTCTGGAGAGTCAGAAAGAGAACAAGTTCGTTTGTGTGATTTATAATACACATTCTTCAACAAAGGGAAGACAGACAGAAAGGTTTGTTCACCAGATAACTGGTTGGTATTTATTAGTCGGGCGTTTCTGTGCTGTCAGTGCATTATTTGTTCGTGAATGACCGTGGCTACAGTAGCTCATGACAATGGAGTCATGTTGATGGCAGAGGCGTGTCAGCCACACGCCTGTTGCATGGCAGCGAGGGGGACCTGTTCATGGCAGGGCAGAGCCAGGAAGCTGGGTTTTCTGAGCGATCATCGCCCTCTTATTTGGGAGTGTGCCCAGCTGGGTCCAACTTTATCTTCGGCATCTGTCATTGCCTAACTTAATTTATTATTGTTATTATTTTTAATCCTCACCCAAGAATATTTTTCCATTGATTTTTAGAGAGAGTAGAAGAGAGAGGGAAGACAGAGAGAAACATCGATGTGAGAGAAACACATCGATTGGTTGCCTCCTGCAAGCGCTCCAACCAGGGCCCGGGCCGGGGAAGAGCCTGCAACTGAGGTCTATGCCCTTGACCGGAATCGAACCGGGAACTCTTTCGTTCACAGGGCCATTGCTCTATCCACTGAGCGACACTGGCCAGGGCTGTCATTGCCTATCTTACTCCAAATGCCACAAAGGACACACGCGGAGAATCAGCAGTGGGTTCCCGTGGGCTTGTGTCTGAGTAGCAGGCACATCAGCCGGAAGCTTCCTGGGGACTCTGAGGGGCAGGCAGTGGTGACCCCGGGACCCATGGGCGGACCGGAGGGGTTTGGAAGCCACTTCATCAGAGGTGCATTACTCTGCAGGCTCCCTGTGGCTCCACCAACATCCCTGGGGTGGTGGTGTCTCCGGGACCTGCTCAGAGGGGCTGCCGTCTGGACCGGGCCCTGCAGGGAATTCGCACAGACCCCATAGAGCCCCCAGGCTGTCTGCATCTTCCTGGTCTCCTTGAGTCTTACAGGTCCTGGATGCTCAGCGAATCACCTCGAAGGGCTCATTTACTGAGAATGGATGTCTTCTCCTAGGTGGCTGAGCCCGTGGACCAGGGACGTGCACCCGAGTGAGGGAGGGGCATGGACAGCCCGGGCGCTGTGGCCGCACACCTGCAGGAGTGCCTGCACCTGCTGCAGCAGCTGGCGGAGGCTCCGGGCGCACCTGCGCGGGACCAGCGCGGGGACAAGGACCAGCCACACGGAGGTGAGGTCGCCTGGCCCCCATCTCTCCCCAGGCAGGCAGATGACCCAGGGACCGCGGATCTGGGGCAGGAATGGGGGGGCCGCGAGGGCAGGAGGAAGGCCACTCCGTCGTAGTGAATCACTGTCAGTTCTCGTTTTAGGCTTCAGTAAACAGGAGGCCTCAAGACACAGTGAGGCTCACGGGGAACAAAGGCTCCGAGTGGGCTGGTGCCTGCACGTTTCAATTATGAAAAAACGGAGGCCACTTCTCAATGGTGGCACGTACTTTCCCTCAAACGGGGCCTTCGTGCCTCCTCCGTTTCCATAGATGTCTCTGCTTTCCATAAACGTGTCACCGCATCAGCCCAATCTCTCTTGTCTGGGTCATCAATACATTTCTTTGTTTTTGAAAATCCTTTTTGTTGAGAGTATTACAGATGTCCCCCGCTTTCCCCAATGCCTCCCTCCACCCGGTTCATGCCACACCCCAGGTCTTCACCACCCTATTGTCTGTGTCCATAGGTGATGCATATAAGTTCTTTAATCTCTCCCCACCACCCCCTGCCCTTCCCTCTGAGATTCGTCAATCTGTTCCATGTTTCCATGCCTCTGGTTCTATTTTATTCCTCCTCCTTTGCTTCTTCAAGAATACCCTTCAGCATTTCATATAATACTGGTTTGGCGGTGATGAACTCCTTTAGCTTTCTCTTCTTTGTGAAGCTCTTTATCTGACCTTCAATTCTAAATGAGAGCTTTGCTGGGTAGAGTAATCTTGGGTGTAGGTCCTTGCTATTCATCACTTTGAATATTTCTTGCCACTCCCTTCTGGCCTGCATAGTTTCTGTTGAGAAATCAGCTGACACTCATATGGGCACTTCCTTGTAGGTAACTAACTGCTTTTCTCTTGCTGCTTTTAAGATTCTCTCTTTGTCTTTTGCCCTTGGCATTTTAATTATGATGTGTCTTGGTGTGGGCCTCTGTGGGTTCCTCTTGTTTGGGACCCTCTGTACTTCCTGGACTTGTAAGTCTATTTCTTTCACCAGGTAGGGGAAGTTTTCTGTCATTATTTCTTCAAATAGGTTTTCAATATTTTGATCTCTCTATCTTCCCCTTCTGGCACCCTCATGTTCGAATGTTGGTGTGCTTGAAATTGTCCCAGAGGCTCCTTACACTATCTTCATATTTTTGGATTCTTTTTTCTTTTTGCTCTTCTGATTGGATGTTTTTTGCTTCCTCATATTCCAAATTGTTGATTTGATTCTCAGCGTCCTTTACTCTACTGTTGATTCCCTGTAAATTATTCTTCATTTCAGTTAGCGTATCCATGTTCGAATGTTGGTGTGCTTGAAATTGTCCCACAGGCTCCTTACACTATCTTCATATTTTTGGATTCTTTTTTCTTTTTGCTCTTCTGATTGGATGTTTTTTGCTTCCTCATATTCCAAATTGTTGATTTGATTCTCAGCGTCCTTTACTCTACTGTTGATTCCCTGTAAATTATTCTTCATTTCAGTTAGCGTATGCTCAATTTCTGACTGGGGTCCCTTTTCATGTCTTTGATGTTCTCACTAATTTCTGTGGGATGCGTGCTGAGAGGGGCGTGGCCTGGGGAATCTGTGGGTGCTCAGGAGGGCACCTCAGGTCACGGGAGGTAGGGGGGCTGACGGGAAGTGGCATGTTTGCCTTGAATGCTGTTGGTGGGCTGAGCTTGACCTCAGAGGGGTTGGGAGAGAGCAAGCAAAACAGGGCCAGCAGGTGTGAAAACCATTAAAGAACTCGGTGCAGGCCCGTGCCCAGCCAGCTGTGCTTTGAAAAACTAGGATCAACAAGGCAGAAGATGGATGGGTGGGCAAGACTGGAGGCAGTGAACGCGACGGGAATTACTCCTAGTGAAGAGGGAAATGGGTTTCAGAATCCACAGGATTTGAGACCCATTTAGATTCGGAGAGAAGAGAGAACATGAAGTCCAGACTGACTCCTGGTGTCCGGTCTGGGGACTCGGTGAGTGTGGGAGCGGAGGACAGAAGGGAGACACAGCCGGAGGGAAGGCGACAAGCTCTGTTGGAGGGATGCTGCGTCTGCGGTGTCTGCACAGCTCACACCTGGAGAGGCAGAACTGGTGACACATGGGCTCCGGAATCCAGAGGTTCCCAGATGTCTGGGAGGCACTGAATGGCATGTGGCCTCCGGACGCCCACACACCAGCAGGAACTGGGTGGCGACCAGAGTCAAACAGGAACATTTTTGCAGCAAAATTGTTGACTGAGCTCACTCTGTAGGATAAACACAACTGCCATTAGCCTCTCATCACTTCAAGCCGCTTTGGGCATCAAATGTAAGGAAAAACCTTCACATTTCCAGAGCTTTCTGAGTTTACTGCGCTTGGACAGAAGATGTGGATGGGTGTACTAGTTAGGTGTGGTGGCCACAAAGAGATTAACTAGCCCTGGCCAGTTTGGCTCAGTGGATAGAGCGTTGGCCTGCAGACTGAAGGGTCCTGGGTTCTATTCCGGTCAAGGGCACATGCCCCCAAGTTGTGGGCTCAGTCCCCAGTGTGGGGTGTGCAAGAGGCAGCCGATCCATGATTCTTTCTCATCATTGGTGTTTTTATCTCTCTCTCTCCCTCTCCCTTCCTCTCTGAAATCAATAAAAATTTATATGCATTTAAAAAGAGATTAAATAGATCTGCTCCATGAGGCAAGGGCATTTCACAGAAGACTGATACCATTTCACACTCCACTTGGGTTTTCCATGTTCTTTTCTGCATTCAAATCCCATCGCAGTGAAAGTGTGGGTGCGGGCGGGGTGGGAGCAGAGGGGCCCAGGTGGTGTCTGCAGCTGCAGCCTCGGCCCCAGGTGCACCCGGACAGTCCCTTTCTCACGTTACAGGGAACCTGTGTCTCCTGCATCCTGTCTGACTTCCCGCAGAGCTGCTCGCGGAAGTGCTTCGCTTCCCCCTGAACCTTTCCATGCCCCACTGCCCCGTCTGCCTGGAGGGGCAGGTAGCCCCTCGCCCTTATTCCGGGGCCCTGACCGCAGCTCTGACTGGCCCCGGGGGGCCTGGGGCAGTGTCTCGGCCACTGAGGCGCTTCATCACAACCCGGGGGCCCACCGCCTTCCTCTGAGAGCCATTCCTCACCTGAACTCTGACCTTTCCAGCTGCACTCCCCGGCGAGCTGCGGACCCTCCTCCAGGAGGCCAAGGACATGGCGTGGCCCTTCGTGCCCGAGAAGTGGCAGTACAAGCCCGCCGCGGGCCCCGAGGACAAAGCCAACCTGCAGGACCTGGTGGCCGCCGGGCTGCAGCAGCTACTGGTAGGACGCCCCACCTGCTCCCCGACCTGCCAGGCGTGTCGCCCTATGCGCTGTCATTGACTGAGTTTCTCTCAGGCCTAAGACAGCCTCTCCCCGTGTCCCCCTTGGCCAGCTGACTAACGGGTGGGAACAGCTTTTAGAAAAGCATCTTGAGGCCGGGCACCCACAAACCAGGCCGAGCGAGGGGAGGAGGGCGCGCAGTGGGGCTACGCAGACACCTGTGTCCTGAAACGCTCACCTGTCCGCCGGCCAGAGCTGCGGTTTTGATTGCACCGTGCCGTGTTGCATTCTTGTTTTGAAATGCTACTTACACTGAAAGTCAGGGCCCTGAAATGCCCGGCCGGTGAAGCTCAGTGGTTGAGCATCAGCCTATGAACCAGGAGGTCACGGTTCAATTCCCGGTCAGGGCACATGCCTGGGTTGCGGGCTCGATCCCCAGTGTGGGGCGTGCAGGAGGCAGCCGATCAATCATCGTCGCTCATCATTTATGTTTCTATCTCTCTCCCCATTTCCCTTCCTCTCTGAAATAAATAAAAATCCTATCCAATAAAAGAGTAATATGCAAATTAGTTGTCACTCCATCACAGAGATGGCCACGCCCATAGCCACAAAATGGCGGCGCCCAGTCCCCTCAGTAATAGGTGGTGTGGAGCAGGTGATTGGAGGGGGCTGGGGGTCCCCTGCCCAGGCCAGAGTCCTCAGCCAGAGGCCTCAGGCCTGGGCAGGGGCAGAGCCAGC